CCCCAAAACCCCAAAACCCCATGAAGCATTATTTTTTTGATTTCAGATTGGTAAATAATTAAAAGCTCAATTAAATAAAGTTATTAATGATTCAGACATTCTTTTTACCTCTTGAATATTACTTTGCTGATTAATCCTATTTAAATTGCTCAAAATATCAGTATTCGTTTTTTTTACAATTTTCTTTAGATTAACTTATTCTTTTAACTCATCTATTATATACAGTGCTCTATGCCATATATCTTATCTTTAACTTTTCAATAAAGAATCAAAGATATTGTTAACTACTTCAACATTAGTTTTTAATGTCTCTTATACATTTTCCAGTTCAATGCTATTTGCTAGAAAACTCAGCACTGCAAAAGACACTTTTTCGTTGCTATGCTCTTAATTGAACCATGATAAAATTGATTCAAGTTCAATTTTGCAATTATCAGAGGAAATTCTTGACTATATTGTAGAGGTCAGTGCTAAGTTTGACATAAGCTCAATAGCCGCAATCACAATTTATAAATTTTTCTCAAATAGCATTGACTTAGCATTATCCCATCCACCCTCATTTAAAATTCTAAAATATTAAGTTTTTATTAATGCAAATTACTTCTCTCTTAATTCTTCATCTGATGATGAAATATTAGTTAAAGCAAGTAATCCCTCAAATAAAAGCAACTCATGATGGACTCTTTCATTGACTAAAGTGTGAACAAGTAAAGTTATAGCCTCATATTTTGTATGATCATGAATTAAGTTAGGATTTGTATAAATGAAAACCTTAGCTAGTGTCTATTTAGATTTTAATATGGCTATTGATAATTTACATACTTGAGCAATATTTATTTCTGATTCAATAGCTAAATTATAATCCTAACTAGTATCCTCTTTGATACTTTTTCTTATATCCAAGATAAATCCAATCATTCCCTATTGCAAATTATTATAATAATCGTACATTTGAAACTAACAATGGAACAAGGTTTTTTTAATAAGATATTTGCAAAATTATCTCAGTAATCATTTTCTTGACTACTACTCCACACCTAAATTTCAGATATTCTCTTAAGCTTTTAATTAATCCAAACAGTTCACAATCAATAATCAAAGCATTTCTAATATTTTAGGCTACTTCTTCTTCAATTCCATACTCATTTACATAATCCTAGTTTAGCTAAGCATAGAGCTGCCTGGAATTACTTAATGTTTTTCTAAGCTCTTTTAGTTCATAATAACTCATATCCATTTCTCTTAACTTCTCTTTTTTGCTGTAAGTGAATGAGGGTATTAAATCGTAATCTTATGATCTGATTAAATTTAGTAATATAAAGATAAACTAAGATTTCATAGACTTATCAATACCATATAGTTAAACTTTCTCTTCTTTCAAATTATTTTAATTACATATCGACTCCATAAATGACTTAAAGAAATATTTGTATTTATCCATAAGTAACTATTTGAAATCATATTTTAAACTGAAGTAGACATAACAGTCCATTAAGGTCTCCACTCTTTGTTGATGAATCAGTATATCATCTTGAGAAATATTCTAGTTCAATGTATATTCTTAGAACAACTATAAAAATTCTTTATAAATATTGAAGCATAGCTAAGGGTCATCAGTCTTTTTGTTACTAATTAACTTAGCTATTAAACTATAAGTTTGCAATTTTATATCTAATCTATATTCCAAATCATTAGAAATCATAACTTATTAAGTAAGCTTGCTCAGAGTAATCTCGAGATCCTATAAAATGAATAAGTACAAATGTTTTTGTAATTTACATTCTAAATGATATCTCTACCTTTCTAAGACATAGCAAGTTTATTAATGAAATCTACCTTCAGATACTTTAAAATAGGCGAATCAGATTCCTTGTTTAATATAATATCTGCAATAGCATTTTTTTACGGATTAAGCTTGACCTTTTCAATTAATTTTAGGGTAAAGTCTATAAAAATGCTAGACACCAAAAGCAATTTTGTTAAAACATCAATAAATTTAATCTCGAATTCTATAAATCTGAACAACCAATCAGTTTCTTCGATGTCTTTGTAAATTATAGAAAGCTTGTTAATGACAATTTATATCTAGAAATTAATGATAAATGGGGATAAAGAATCTTACCTTCAAAAGTAAATTTAAGTCTTATCTGCCTACCTAATTATTATATTATTGTTAAAAGCAAGTCATTAAGTTCAATAACAGATCTTAATGAGTCTAACTAGTAAATGAATGATCCTTTTATTTTTCATCAGTGTTGTGAATCATAAATAGCAGAGTGTCTAATCCAGAACCATATATGTTTAAGCTATAATAAAATTAATTAAAGTTTGAAATATGATCTTACTTCAATTATGTCTAGCCTCGTTCTGATAAAACTTAATCTAGCATAAATCTTAAAACATCAACTTTTTATGATTATTCCTTATATGAATTTACCATCACTTATCGAGTATAAGTTCAAGATTGAGAATAGAATATCAATTTTTTTATTTTCTAATACTACTATTAGATCTTCAATCTTTATGTCTTTTAGTGATAATTTTTGAAGTTTCCTATCATTTTAAAGTAGCTATCTGAATACAGCTATGATGAAATCTATATAGACTAAGACAAGTGAGATTATTATACCTTCTTTATTTTCAATAGCTGTCCTCATTATTTGACTAATGTTTTGGTTTTAATAAATATTTAGAGAGTTTGTTTTAAGGTATTAAATATACTACTCTAGCACCCTCTTTTCTATCAGCTGCTTATTCTAAAGTTAATCTAGAATTTGAAGTTCAAAAGTATGAATTTCTTGTTTGATATCATTTTCCATACTACTTAAGGATAGTTTCTGATTGATATCTCTAAGTATTTCAGAGAACGACTTATCTTGATACTGCTTCAAGCAGTATGTAGTATAGTCCAAAGCTTTGACATATTTTTACTTCTGCATCAAAATCTAAATTTTCCTGTAGTGGGCTTTGATATATTTATTGTCAATTTGAAGGCATCTTTTATTGTAATAATTAGACTCTTCAATCTCATTGCGCTTAAAATGGCACATTGCAAGGTTGTTGAAAATTATGGCTTTTTGCACACTAACTTCTTCATTATACTGATCGATAGTTGCTTAAGGTATATTTTTATCTTTCTCTAGTAGATCTTTGATGTCTTATTCCCTTTAAACCAGGATGTGCAGGACATCTTCGTAGAGATTTAGAGCTTTTAAGAAGTCGCCAGTCTTGAAATTTTAAGCTGCCTTGTCCTTTAGGGTTTAAATTTAATCTTTGGAAGATTGCATTTTGAAATTAATTAATTCTAGAATTTACTATTTTTATGCATTTTATCATTTAGGGGTTTTGGGGTTTTGGGGTTTTGGGG